ATATATATAGTATCATTTAGAGATTGCGTCAATGTGCTTGAACTTACATGAGGCTTCCGTATAATGTATATATGTGCCCTTTTGCGTACTGCATTGCTTTGTTTGCTTTTGATGTGCTTGTTTGATTAATGTAATACCCAAAATGCCTCTAGTTTTTGAAAACTAAAATGGACAATATCTTCATATGCATCAGCTCTCTCTGAAAAATAAGTACACGAACATGCATACACATTATTGAAGCGTTTTCGACTCCATAACTGAATCCGTGTTTTATGATAACCGTGTTTTTATCTGACACAACGTCCACTATTTTTATCAGTCTCTAGATCTTTTGGTTTCTCCGTCTGTCTATCACAGACGCACACTCTCTCTTTTCTTATCTACCAAACACTCTCTCTTCACCTATCTATCTATCTATCTATCTATCTATCTATCTATCTATCTATCTATCTATCTATCTATCTATCTATCTATCTATCCGTCGTTCTATCTTTCATACTGGATAATAAGTAAATTTGATCATTTGGACTTTCCAAAGCAAAGCGATTGTCCCTCTGTAATACTGTCCTTATCCTACATTGTATATCTTTATGTGTGTGCTTTCCAACGTGCTTTCCCACCCTTTGTGTGCCCTCTTTGCGCTTCTTTGTCAACTGGTTTCTCCCATCTGTGTGTGGTATCTATTATGTATCCATTTCTATTCTTATTTACCACCCCTGTGTGAATATCGGCTACACCTTTCTCTGTTGTAAATGTTCTGAGCGAAAAAAATACTGCCATATGCATCATATATACCCTCTAAGTACTCTTTTGTGGTGTAATTAAACGCAAAAGTGTAAGGATTGAAACTATTTTTATAATGTCGATATCATGTGTACCCAGTTATTTATGTTGTGTGCTTTAATTGTAAATGATATACATATACAACTATATTCATGTGAACGTATGTATTTGTGATAAATAATAAACTATATAGAATTCTTTGTTTTATATAATACACGACATGTGCTTCCAATTATTTTAAAAATAGATATAGTTTTGACATACAACATTTTTTAAATAAGAAAATCCAAACCCTAAACTTAAAGAAAGACCCGGTTCAGTCTTTTTAGAAAACAATGATTCAGCATAAGGATATCATCAGATAGCAGCTTAAAAAGTTGTAAATTGCTACTTGCGTTATTATCGCAAAGTAAAATTCTTCCCAGTCTTTAATTGTTTTGAGGACTTTGTATGTTTAGAAGTTGAAGAAACAAGAAAACAATTTAAAGCATAAGTCTTAAAGTTTTCATTTCATTAACTTGAGTAAGCTTATTATATGACTTTAGCTCAAGGTGGGATTCCGTTAGTAACAAGCATTAGAGCTAATAAAATATGAACTTCAATTTCCCTTTTCTGACTCACCCCCCCCCCCCCCCCAACTATTACATTTCTAAAGGAATAAAATGGTTAAATGAATTCTTCATCCATCAATAATGTAAATCAATCACGAAAAAGTCTGAGTGAACAATAAAATTCAATTCGATTTTTCTCTGTTTGACATGATGCAATGACATGTTGGCTCTTTCTGTGAAGCTGTCTTCACTTCTTTAAAAAACCGGAATTTCCCGCCAGAAACTAATTCTTACTTCCGGTACAGACGTCATCATTAGGGCTCTTGTAAGAGACAACTGCTGTTTTTTCCCTTCACAGACAGTCTTCGGGGGATTCTCCAGCGCTGTCCGGATGGATATTTTGGCTTTAAGTGCAAGTTTGAGTGTCACTGCGAGGGGAACAGAGTCTGTGACAAGGTCACCGGAAGTTGTCCCCGCGGGTGCAAAGATGGCTTCTGGGGCCCCGGATGTCAGCTCGGTAAGGCGTTGATAGATGGTTGTCTCACGGCGTCTGGTCTGTCATTTGGTGGTTGTCTTTTCGTGTGTCTTCGCTGTTTGATGTGTAATTTGGGTGTGTAGTTGTCCATTCTAAGTGTGTTTGAGTGAATGTGTTAATGTGTGTGTGATGGGTGTGAGTGTGTCTGTGTGTATGTGTGTTTGGTGTGTGTATTTGTGTTGTAGTTGTTGTTGTTGTTGTTATTGTTATTGCTGTTCTTGTTCTTGGTGATGGTGTTGTTGTTGGCAGGTGCTTTTGTGTGTATGTAAAAGAGAGGGAAAGAGAGAGGGAAAGACCAAGAGAA